GGTATTGAGAAGAGTTGATGGAAAGGGTATTGCGATTGTTGTTAGGTTGTTGCGTCCAAATGAAGACGCCTAGGTGTGATATGCGGTTGAAAAATTGGATTATAAGTAGAGGGAGGGAAGGGTGGGTCAAAAAATAAAGAAGATAGTCCGCGAGCTGCGCGTGGAGAGCAGCTCGCGGTAGAATAAGGTACATGGTGGTAACGAGGAGAGTGTGTGAGGGACAATAGTGACACGTAAGTCTCTGCGCGCCCACGTGACCAAGAAGACGGATCTCTGCGAGCACAGATCCTCCCATCTTGGTCTTGTGTGGGTGCTCGAACGTAGTGTCGGTTAGGTATGGAGCCTGACGGCATGCATGTGGGGATGAGAAGCGTGGTTTGAAACCACGCCTCCCAGGTCGAGGGCCGATGGACGGCGGAGGATGAGCCCCCAGAGCGGGTGAGGCCGCCCAGACGATGACGGCCATCGGCTCGCCCCCAGTGGCGGTGAGACCGCGATAAATCCCAGTGTGGAGTAATTTTGATGGATAAAGGTTGAATGAGGAAGGGAGGTGTGAATTCCAATCTCTGAGGTAAAATATGTGGGCAATAATGGTGATATTAAGGGATGACGAAAGGGGGGGGAGGTAATAAATAGGCGCCGAGAACCAGGCGCCAAGTTTAATGCGACGAGGGCAACCCGAAGTGCTAGGTTAATGGGTACTTACAAGTATTGAGGGTTGACAGACTTGTAACCGTAAAGGGAGCAGGCTGCCCGTTGACAGAGCTCAAACAGAACTCATAAGGGGGGGGGGCTAAGCCAGATAAAGGCACAAGCAACATGTATTTGTGATCGAGGAGCTCAGAGCACTGGTACATGATGGTAAGCATGTAGGTTTGGTGTGAGTATGTAGGCCCATGATGGGTGCGTAGACCCGTAATTAATGAGCTTGTGGGCTCGTAATGGGTGCGTAAACCCGTATTTAATGAGCTTGCGGGCTCGTAATATATGAGTATATAGGCTCATATTGTAAAGTGAGCACGTAAGGCTCATAGTATAAATGAGCGCGCAAGGCTCGTAGTATAGGTGAGCGCGTAAGGCTCGTAATGTAAGTGAGCACATAAGGCTCGTAGTAGGGTGAGCACGTAGGGCTCGTAATATAAGTTTTAGCGCAGGCGCAATAAGGAGCGCCGCGCAGTTAACCTGTGGGCAAAGGGCGAGTGAGTCAGAGAAATAAAACAGGGAGTATGAGTTGGGAGGGGATAGGAGGGAAGATGAGTGGATAAGAGGAGGTAATAGATGAGATAAATGAGAAGACATGATGGATGAGATTTGATTCGGAATGGGGGAAGGGGATAGACGAGAAGGAATGTAGGGTGAGTTACAAGGTGGTGTTGAATTGTGAGTGTTGGAAAAACTGGGACGGAAAGGGTAAAGAAATAATTGAGAGTGCTGGGATATTAGGGTGAAATGGGTAAGAAGAATTGGGTGTAAAGGATAAAAGCGTAGAGTGGTGAGGGTAGAAGTAGAGTCGCCAGCAACTCTATGGAAATGTGATGAGTGGATCGTGTACGAGTTAGTGGTTTAGTTTGTGGATTGGATATCGGATGTCGGAAAATGATAATGTATGAATGGTGAATCAAAAATAAAGAAGATAGTCCGCGAGCTGCGCGTGGAGAGCAGCTCGCGGTAGAATAAGGTACATGGTGGTAACGAGGAGAGTGTGTGAGGGACAATAGTGACACGTAAGTCTCTGCGCGCCCACGTGACCAAGAAGACGGATCTCTGCGAGCACAGATCCTCCCAGGGCCTGTTCAAGGCGGCTTATCGCCACACATCATGTTCAAGTTATGGTACCAAATGATCACTGAATAGTCTGTACAGGCTCCGAAGTTTTACTGAGTGATGAAAACGAGCTCTTTGGAACAAAGGTTGGCAGGCCAATCATGGGGCCTACATTTAATTCTTTTCGGTTTGACTATTCGACGTAGAGAGGCTCAGGATCAATGTTCACTGCCATCTGTCATCGGCTAACATTGGGCCCACAGGCAGTGTCTGAAAAAAAAACGTTTCAAAGCGAGAACATGTACATATGTCGTTAAGGAGGAAACGGTTACAAAATTTGCAATGTTATTTTACACGATATTATGGTTTTCAGGATGGTGAAAATATGGCACGAGGAAAAAACAGGGCACCTAATTCATGTATAAAAAATTCTGGTTCAAACACCGCTCTTCTGTGTACAGAGTCGGTCATGGGGTAGCCAGCAAACAATAGACCTGGACGAGCTTAAACGGGGTTCGTGTACAACCTGAAGAAACGAAGGTTCCTAATATCGGCGTTCATGACCCCGTTTGGGTTGTTTTCATCTGCCTTGAACCCGAATTGGAATTGAGTCGAGTTGCTGGTGTGCAAGCTGAGATCGGTGACAGAAGAGCGCACGACTGATTCGTTGGATTTCTTCCCATCGACATAAACATAGAGCGTGCGTTTGGTCCTGTCAAAGGTGAATGTTATGTTTCTCCACACGCCAAGAGGAAGGGCGGTGATAGTCGAGACATCAACAAGGCCTTGCTCAGGATTACTACCGTCGGTGTCCATGTTTCTGCGGAGTTGACATCCGACCTTGCCGTCTGGGTCATAGTAGGTCAAGAACTGCCACATGCCGGACTTCCAGTTGGTGAGGAGCATAGTGCGTTTAGTGGGCCAATTAGGAATACGCATATCCCAGGACATGGTGAAGCTGGAGTCCTGGATGAAAGTGACAGCTGGGATGTTGAGGTATGCTGGAGCGCGAACCTGGATGAATCCTTGCTTGACGTGGTCCGCAATGGGTGCTGCGTCGTCGAATTTGAGTGCAGTACTGGCACTGGGGTTTAATATAGTAGCCTTGCCCATCTGGGAGGGCGAGACCTCATCAGTGGTTCCATTGAAGCTCCAATCGGCAACCAAAACAGAGGTAGTGGGTTGAATGCAGTGTGGACAGAGATTGGCCGCTAGAGCGGTGAATCCGCATATTAGTGAGGTGAATTCTAGTTATAATTGTCGATGTTTACCAGGCATTGTAGACATTGTAAAGAGGTATGAACTGCAGCACAAAGTTCCAAAGAAACAGGACTTATATACCATGAACCAGGTATGGTCTCTGGAAGTGAAGCACGCCTTCGTCTCAATCGAGTTGTCTCGTGTCCATTTTCTTAGGGGTTTACATGTCAGAAACAGCGCTGAAAAAGCACGAGGATCTGCCTTAATTGAAACCATTTCACCTGCTGATACCTTCAGGGTCGAGTTCCAGGAACAAAATCTATCAGCTTGAGAAGGCTTAGGTCGAATCTTCGGTATCATCAAGTTTCGGCGCTAATCACAAGTAACTCCAGAGGGTGCTTGGCGTTCGTTAAGTACGCATAAAATGGAATACTTGACTATGACTGAGAGGTTCACTCCTCAAGTTATGAGAAATAGGCTTCATGCACAATCACATGAATTACCTCTGCGGAGCACTCCCTGTGAAGGGGTAGCACGGTATGAGTGAGTGACCGACAGTTAATTTAACGTCGGTTCCTTGTGATCGCTCCGAGTCCTCGAGCAATTGTTCATACCACGGCAAAGCCAATAGGGTGCATCACGGTCAGCCTTCTGCAATAGAAAGACAGGAGCCCTCAGGCACTTAGCTCACACGGAATAGGATGGGCGTCGAAAAGCAATTCAAAACTGTGCATTACAGGCACGCAACGAGTACAGGAGCACACGAAAGAAGAATGATAAAAGTAAAATCTACAGACTCTATGTAAGAGGTTACACTCAGGAAATAGTTATATTTGAGCTTCCAGTACTCATGTATCCCTCCGTCGCCATAATCTGAAAGTCAGGGGTATTTCCCAATTTCATTCCTAGACCTTCCCACGCAGCGACGTGACACCCAAAGTCGATGGTTCCGCCTATCTTCCCGTTTGGAAGTTTGGGATTGCGGATGGACCAGTACTGATATATAGTGGGTGAAAAACCGATTGGATAGCGGATAGTGAGGATAATGTCATAAGTGGCGCCATTGCAGACAACCTTTCCTTTCAGAGGGCTGGAAGTCGCTGGATTATACGTCCCGTAGGACTCCAAGACGTGATATTCGGTCATCGGGTCCTTGTTCCACCCATACAAGCCAAAGTAACCGTTGCCCGTGGGGTTGAATGTTCCCTCATATTTTGCCACTCTGATAGTAAGGATGTATCGCCTCAGTCACCCATTGTGCGGTCGGATGAAAACAGATGCATACCTCTTCGCTGAACCAGTTTGCCAACCCTTTCCACCGTAGAGATCGCCTTTGCCTTTTACCCAGTTGACGGAATACGATCCACCTGGACCGTTGGTGTACGTCGCATCAGATGATGCTCCATCTGTCCACCATGTATAATACCACCCATCGTGAACGCCGTTGGTGTTGGGAGTACTTGCGCGCGCAAACAGTCTCGAAGTGGCCGGAGAGGCTTGAACACAGGTGGAAACTGCGATTGCGACGACAGCCATATATGAATCAAAACGCATTGTTGTCGTAATACGCCGAAGTCGCTCAAACAAATGGAACATTTAAGCAAGACACTCTTATATGCACATTCACTCTCGAAAAAATGTCGGAGCAGCGTTGACTTCGATACTGAGTTTTTGATTGCTTACGAGTGATGCCACCTCGAATCCCTTACTTTAACGAAGGCACCAAGCAGAAAACCAGAGCATTCTTGCATATGTCGAGCCAGGTGACCTAACTCGGAAAAATAGGAAGTACCGGTAGATTCGGTATGGGCTGCCTATCCCCTTGAATGAATTGGGTTGATTGATTTATGGGGCCTTTAGACTATCCGCAGCAGTTATCGATCACGGATGACGTGTGAGGTCAAACCGTATCTTTCGAGTGCACAGGTCGGTGTCAATCAAAAGAAGGCTTTGAAGAGAGTTTCAAACAAAAAATTGAGCACGCTCTTGTACTACATAGCCCCCGCATAACATTAATCAAGAGAAGAAAAAATATACTCTCTGTCTGGGAGTCGAACCCAGCTTTCGCGCGGTCCAATGACAGGCGCGTGTACTAACCGATATACTAACAGAGACTGACATACCGCCCCGCTATTGAAATTTTGTTCTGGTGTTGACTGCCTTCGTTATCAGTATCCGAAGAACGTTATGCAAATTGAAATTGATACTGTTAGGATACAGTTATGTTGGAAAAACCACTGCTGAAGTATCCCTCTGTCGCCATAAGTTGGACATCCTGTCCGGATACCCTGTAATGAGTCAGACCTAAGCTCGTCCACCCCGCAAGGTGACACGCAAAGTCAATGGTCCCACTGACATGGCCGTTTGGTAGCTTAGGGTTACGAACGGAGTAGTAGTGATATGAGATTGGCTCAAGCCCTATAGGGATTCGCCACACATCGACGACATCGTAGTTGGCGCCGTTGCAGGTTATCCTGCCCTTTATCGGGCTGTAGTCTGCTGGATTGAAGGTCCCGTAGGACTCGAGGACGTAATAGTCGTCGTTTGTCTTTTGGTTCCATTGGTAAAAGCTCAAGTACGCGGTGCCCTTGGGCTCGAATGTCCCATCGTAATTGACAACTCTGTGAGTGGTGATCAGTGGAATTCTGGTGTTGGTTGATACTAGCGCTTTGACATACCTATTGTTTGAAGCAGAGTTCCAGCCTTTTCCACCGAAGAAGTTACCCTGGCTATCCGTCCAATTAACCGAGTAGGATCCACCAGGGCCATTGGTATATGTAGCATTTCCAGCGCCATCCGACCACCAACTGTAGAAGACTCCGTCATGGAAACCAGCACTGTTAGGCGTTCCTGCACGGGTTACAAGTCTTGGTATAGTGGGGGACGCAACACAGGCAGACACTATGGCTGCGATAAAGGCGAGGGGAGCTTTCCAGTTCAACATTATTACGGCAGTTGGGAGTGAGTTGGAGTACCACGACAGCACATAACACCACCCCAACAATTCTTATACCTGCGTGCCCAGAGTCAGCACAGTTCGAAGATTGATTGTGAGTACGCAGCGGTTGGGACGTATCCGAATGGCATCTCTTCATAGCGAACAGGAAGAACCCTTTTCCATCCTTCTGAACCAGATGACTTCTCAGGAAATCCACCCGGGGCGTTATCGTGATTTGATCATCTTGGCTAGGTGACCTCGGTGATATCCAGACGCAGACTAACAGTCGTTTAAGTCGGGGAATGTATTGATTATGACAAGATGGGGATTAATAATGTCAGTCTCGCCAAACGTGACGAATTCGCCTACTCCACAAAACCATACCAAGAGAACCTTCATATTGTGATGTGATTGCGTGTAAACATATAAGTACAAAGTTGCATGTATGTAGATGATAAAGCACAAGAAAGATATAAGTAACATGATACGTGATGCCGACAAGAGGATATGTTCTACCTCTGCCATGAAGATAAGTCAATATAGCCGTAAAAATAAAACGACAAGAACCAAGAAGGCCAAAAATCCCTAAAGAAAACTGCGAGATCAAATGAGAACTGAAATGAAACAAGGTATGATAAAGTGATGAGTGTAAATATGCGCAAGTATGATATATGCTGACGAGATAAGGAAAATATAATGAAAAAAAAAAAACTACAAATATGATATACAGACGACAGGCAATGTGAGGCCTGCCCGACTTATACTTTTGGATTGGTGTGGTCGTGACGAGCGGTATGAAGACGAGGAGTGGAGGGTACGTGGAAAGGCGTGTATGGATTATTGCGAAGGGTGGGAGGAAAAAAGAGGTATCGCATGAGAGAATATGACTGGTGTTATGGAAAATGGATCCAGGATCTAACAAATGAGGGTATCGTGTGTCGGTGCGTAAAACAGATGTACATAATAGAGAAACGATGGCGTAACTTGAGAGGGTATTGGTTGGAGGAGTCTGCGGATGGCTTTAGAAACGGCGCATAGACGAGAAAAGAAAAAAAAAATGACAAACCTCACATCCCACTACCACTACATGCCCATATCTGCCCAATTTCTCTTGGTCCCATGTTGCTGCACCAAGTCGTTCCTGATGTTCATCTGAGCTTCCATCTGCATCTGTGCTTGGAAACCTGGTGGAATCGACATCGGCCCGGACATATTGCAATGCGCAGACGGAGGGTAGGCCTGAGGAGGGGGTATTGTTGAAGGTCTCGATATCGGTCCAGTTGGACGCATTGACAACCCAGGAGAATGCATTGGATGAGATGGAGGAGGCATCGGTGGAGATTGCATTCCTGGGGAGGGGAAACCGAACGGAGGGGGCATCGCCATTCGATCGAAGGCATTTTCGTACATGTCAGGAGGGGCGCTCGTAAGATTAGGATATGAAGGGAATGGACGATAACCCTGTTTCTGCATCGGAACTTGTTGCTGTTGCTGTTGGTACGGGGTTGGGAATGATCGAGCATCCATAAGTTCTTCGATGATTGTCTGCGCATTGAGATCCGTGTACGTCGCGCCCTGACTCTGGAAGGTTGTCTGGTGCCTAAACCCTCCATCGCCCCGTGAATCACCCGTGACGCTCATGCGACGCGGCATGTTCGCAATCGTCTTTCTAGCTTCACCATTCACCGTCCCGCTCTCTGCACACGGATATGGAACGACCCCTGCTGTTCTCTGTTGCTGCCTCGCCCACAAACATCCCTCGACACCGCCAAACGACAGATCAATACTTTCAAGCTTAGTCAGCTCCTCCTTCACTCTCTGCGCCAAGAACCGACGTTGCTGCAGCTCGTATTGCCACGAGGTACCGCGTTGGGTTGACAGGATGTCGAAAAGATTTGAGAGACGTGGTGGTAATTTGGAGGAAGCTTTGGGTGTGGCGGAAGACGGGGCATTCGTGGAGATGCGAGGAGACGTCAAGGACGACGGGGAGGGTGGGGATAGCGAACTGGAATCCAGCGAAAATGTGACCATCCCAGGACCAGATGAGAGTGGAATTGCGCCAGAGGCGTCAAGAAGGGGTCCTACATCCCGTTCTCCCTCTTTCGTCCCGTTCCAACAAATGTCCGCACCCACAATACGAACTTGAGCGAAAAGAGGTGCGTACGAGACATCTGCGCCTGGTGCATACGGTTCAGCCGCTGACTGTATCCCAAGATTAACCCCAAGTGACTCATCCTCATCCTCCGCATCCCCTCTAAACACCACAACCCACACATCCACAACTCCCCCATCTCTCCGCCTCATATTCGCCCTCACCTTCCTCCACCTCCTGTTCCCCTCTTCGCCCTGTCCCAGCACATCGTCAGTTGGGTCCACTATCCCTCTCCTCTTGTTCCTCTGTATCTTCCTCAGTGCGCGCACGACCCTCTCAATCTTCATCGCCTCCTGATAATCATCATCCGTCCCCGTTCCTCCCTCTTCCATCACAGCATTTGCAAACACCCTCCTCACATTCCTCCCAGCGACTTCTCCCCTCTCCCAACCAGCAACATCAACAACCCCCTCTCCCACCCAATCAAAAGTCGTCGTTCCCGCTCCTCTACCACCCAAAACTGCCCAAAACTCCGTATGCACATCCACAAATCTCAGAACCGGTGGTGACGACGACGCGTCCTTGGCCGTAGGCGGTCTCGACTGTTCGCGTTCATTTGAATCACGCTCTTTACCCTTTCCACTCCTCGGTCTCGCTCTGCTTTCGTCGTCCTCTCCCTCATTTCTCCCACTTTCTCTCCCTCTGTCCCTTTCCTCCCCCTTCTCCTTCCCGTCCTCATTCGTCGACAGTGCCACATTAACCAGCATCCGACCTGCCCTTGTGATCCCACCAGCATCAACGATATCCCTCCACTTCACACCCCACATATCACCCACCCGTCCATTTAAGATAATGGCTTTTCGTCCTTTGCCAGGTTCAGCGAGGAGACGACCGCGGGAGTGGATCCATACATATCGATCATTCGACATCGATGTAGAGTCGGGGGTGGCAGCACCAGTATCATGAACCGCAGTTGAGCACGAGTGAGACGGCGACGTCGAGTTCGATGATGGCGATGAGCCGATAAGCGTCCTAGCCCTGAACAAAACATCCACACTCTTCGGCCTCATAATCATGTTTCCATACATCGCATTCGCATTCATCGTCGCAGGCTTCGGAATCCCCGATCCTCCATCCGCACTCTCCACATCCCCTGCTTTCGCACCATCACCACTACTACTCAAGGGTCCCATTTCTCCGAACGCCCATTCCTTGGTATGCACGCCCGCACTCCCCTCTTTCAACTCCCTCATCAGAGGCACGACATCTCCCTTGAACGCGAAATCCGCGATCCCAGAAAGTGCAAGGTGCCTTCGCTCCGTTGTCCCACTTCCCACTTCTTCCTCTCCTTCTACTCCCCTTGTTTCATCACTTTCTGCACCCGCACCCGCACCACTCGCCCTCTCGCCCTCCTTCCCCCACCCAACCAACTTCTCCACACTCCCACCCACATACAAAAAGCTCCCCTTCAAACTAACCACATGCACCAAATCAGGCATATACCTCAAAATAATCGCATGCAATATATGAGACGTATGCGGTGACGTCGGGTGCAAAATACCCGTAATAACAGCATTCTCCGCGGGCGTCTCAGGAGCATCCAAGTCCAACGGTGTATTCCCCGGTGACGATGATGATGCAGCGATCATCGATGGAGACTGCCCCGCATCATCCTCCCTTCCCTCTTCAACCCTTCGCGCACTCTCCTTCGCACCACTCAAGGGTGAGATACCAACACTAACACCCAGCTCCTCAAACCACCTCTCCCCTTCCTTCCCATTCCTCAACGCCCTCTTCACCCACCTCCTCAACACCCTCTTCAGCTCATCTGACATCACAACCGTCGAAAGCACCGGGTGCTGTCTCTTCTGCTGACCCTGCCCAGCCTGCGGGCGTTGGGTTTGCGCGTACGGATGAGCTCGCCCTTGCTGGTGTTGGTTTTGTTGTGGCTGATGCTGTTGCTGATGCCTCCCCACATCCACAACCCTCCTACTCCCCTCATAATTCCTCATCCAACTCCCCTCTCTCATCTTCTCCAATATCGCCTGGGGCTGCTCCGCCAAATCGACCTGGAAACCCACATG